GAAAAAAAAAAAAAAAAAAGCTAAGTCATGGATCCACTATGAATTTTTGCAGTCATCCTTTTGCCTCCTTTGCCTGCCAGTGTGGATCCAGCTTAAAACCATGTGTACATTTTAGGCGCTTCCATGTGGGTTCCACTGTTCCAGTGCAGAGAGTACCTTAGCCATGTCTCTATCAAAAAGAAATAAAACAGAGTTGTAGATAGAGAGTGGGGAGAAAAGAGAGAGAGTCCTTTCCATGTATTTATGTATTTCTTTGCATGATTTTTGTTAGGCTTTTTTTTTTACTTAGTTTTATTTTTTTGGGCAAGTTTCTGGCCATTTACCTTTGCATTTGCATTTCCTATTGATTAGCAATTTTTAAACTGTTTATTGTGCTCTTTTGTTTGGCTGTTCAAGAGCTAAAACAAAAGCCACCAGGCCCTGTGAGGGACACATTTGCATGCGGCGAGCGTTGCCCGAGGAAAAAGTAATTGCTAATGCATATTTATGTGGCACAAATTTGCCATTTGTTTATGCATAAAATTATCAATAGTGCAGGGCGGCCCAGCCGTAGAAAATGGTGACCTTTTTAGCTTAATAAAGAGAAATCAGCTGTTATTGTGAAGAGATCAGCCATTTATTCTGTGTTGAGGGACACTGTCGGGAAAATGTAGATTGGTGCTGGCAATATCATTAAATGGAAGGCCAGTGACCCTTTCGGTATAGTCTATTATACTTTATCTAATAGGGGATAAATGACTCTGCTTGGCAAATAGATTAAAAAAAATATAGAGAGAAAAAAAAGGAAAAAAGAAAGGGAAAAAAAAACCCAACAAAAAAAAGCAATAAAACCTACTGACTTGTCTCTTGCAGCCCAGCCACAGGAACAGCAAGGTACTGAGGAGGTAGTCTTGTACAAGCCACCTGGTATTTTTCTAGCACAAAAATTATTTGAAAAACAACAAAACAACAACCAAAAAAACCCAACCCTAAAACAACTCCCAAGCCCACTCTGTTTAGACTAGTTTGGACTGATTTGGAGTGCGAAAAACATCCAGAGCCAGTCTGTGATTCTTTCTAGGGCATGTCAAAACCAGCATTCTGAAGGGCCATAATGTGGATTGGATTTTTGGCTTGTGAAATGAGAACTCAGCATTTGAAATTAGGAGGTATGGTCTCTTCTGAAGACAACGGTATTCAACAATATTCAAAAATATTTATGCTTTTTTCTTTTATGCATTGCAATTTTTTAAGAGCGGAGAAGAATTTGCTAGATTCGGAAGATCTGCAGGAATTGCAGCAACACAGTTTTCTTTATAACAGTTGACTCATTCAGCTCAACCTTTAATAGGCAGATTTAAGACTTGAAGAGTTAAAAACTAACAGCTCTAAGCCTCGAGGAGTTCTTGTGAAAATGAAAGTGTATGCACAAAACCTCATGTTTCCCTGTTTCTCTCATTCTCTGTAATGCACAACTGAATGAGTTTTAACCACCAGGTGAAATGTGGTGAGCTGCGAGTCACAGTTGCTGTAAAATATTGCATTTTCTGTACAAAACGTGTGCTGGGCTTGGGGTCTGATGTTTAAATATTTTTTTAATCCCTGAGAAATATTCAGCAGATAATGGCTAGAGTAATTTTGGGGCTTTACTCTCTTTGCTTCCTAAAATATACCCCAAGGTAATGTCATCATCACAGAAAAGTCACCACAATGTTCGTCACTGCGTGTCGTCTTCCTGGTGGCCTCAGTAAAAAACAGGACAGGAATAATGGAACTTGCAGATAGTGAAAGATTTTCAGGCAAGGCTGTGTGGTGATGATTGTGGGGAGGTTGTGGTCAGAGACAGGACTTTGGTCTACTCAAGGCTGTTGCTGTGATTTCACCCCTATTAAAATTTGGGCAACATTTAAATAAAATTACTTTAGTCAAATATAATACAATACATAAAATTGATTCCAGGAAATATTATATATTATATCATGTATCACTTTCTCTAATGTTGTAAAAGTCTTTGTAAGGGTGTGTGCTACAGTTCAAAGTTTTTATACCTAAAATTTTCTTTGTTAGGATTTTTTGGAAAATGTTAGTTTCATTCCTGTACATGGAGCTGTTGCCTGCTTCTGGAATGGTGCACTCGCAGTCCTCCCAAATAATGATTCCCAGCAATGTTGCTGTAGAAACAAAAATATTGTAGGACTAGTGATGGAATTAGAGAGAGAGTCAAAGAAATAGTTTAAAAGCAGAATTTTTCTTAGGTCCATCCTATGGAAACTGCAGTAAATAGGAAAATTAATTTAATTGCAGAGCAGGATCTAGGTTACTTCACATGGCGCCAGGCCCTTTTGGTACTGGTTCTGTCTCTCCACTCAAGGCTGTAGCTAAGAACCATAATTTCAGCAGTCTCTGTTCATGTTTGGTGATTGCTTCATTGCATTGTTCATAAACAGTTGATTTAGGTGGGTTTTTATCTTTAAAAACACATTTTTATTTTTACTTCAACTAATTAACCAAAGTTTGCTTAGTCCAAGTAAATCTGATTTTTTTCAAAGGGTCTTTTTTCATACAAATATTTCCAGCTCTGCTCCTGAAAAAAAAAAAATCATCTTATTCCCATCAAAGCCCGTAGACACTTGTTAGCCTGAGTTTTGCTTTGTCTTTTCCAACAGTCATAAAGCAACCCTTTTGAAGCTGCTTGACACCAGCTAGAAAGATGTATTTAGATAAAATTACCAAGAAGAAAATGCTTAAGTCTTTATGGGAAGAAACTAGGGATCACAGTGCTGTAAACTAACCCAAATAAAACTGAGATTCAAATTCAGGTGGTGGTGGTGGTTCTTGTTAATGTTACTGTTTCGGTTTTTTTTTTTTTTTTGGTTGGTTGGTTTTTTTTTTTTTTTTTTTTGGTTTTTTTTTTTGTTTTTTTTTTTTTTTTTTTTTTTTTTTTTTTTTTTTTTTTTTTGTAGCTATGCCTGCCCAGGTTGTGGAAGATAACTGCTAAGTACAGAGAAATTAGAAAGAAAAACCTCTTCAAAAACCTAGAAATATTTATGGTCATGGAAAATCATAAGTTTTGTAAAGAGTTTCTGAAGGGAGGAGGCAGAACAAGGACACTCAAGTATCACTGGTCAAAGTTGGTGGCAGCAAACAAGAGAATGAGCAAAATAAGTGTAACTTTTTCCTTGTATTCTGCTCATATGAGGAGGTCAGGGATTTTTTTCAGGTTCCAGGTTGCTGGGAAAGGCTAAAAACATAATGGGGAATATTCTGTAAATAAATGTTACTGTGATCTGTTTTGTCCTGGGGTTTCATCCTAATTAGGAGTGAATTGAGTGGGACTTGTTCTTTTCTCAGCTTGTGGACTATGTCTGCTATACTGATAATGTGTGGGTCAGGGAAGGAAGATAAAAGACTGGTTTTATATGATGATATTTAGTTAATGAATGGCTATTTTGATAACCAAGTGAAAAGAGATAAGCAATTGTTATATTTTAGTTCTTTGTGATGCTGGTAAACAGGTAGTCTAATAGGTCCCACAAAACTTGACTTATCCTTGTAGGAGAAAATTTTGATAACTTATCTTCATTGAGGAATGACTTCCCCCCCCCCTCTTTCTTCAGCACAGATTTTAGAGATAGTTATCTTTCTGAGAGCAGAAATTCATGACTGAGAAAATTTCTGTACAAAATATACAGAGGACACAAGTCTGTTTGTTCATCTGATTGCTCAAAAATAAAAAAAATATAGGAAACTGAGGTTTGTCTTCACAAAGTTTGCCTGCATGCAGAGCTCATTAGGAAATCAGGAATGGTGCTCATTTGAACCTTCATGTACCAGCCTGATCTTGGTTGTGTCTTATATACTGCTGCTTTTCCTGGAGCTCTCTGAGCTGTAGGGCTGGAAAAGTAATTCTGTCAAGTTAAACCAGTAGGAAAAAGCTCCTGGGTTTATATATTAAGGATGTTGATTTCAGAATTTGGTCGTGTGTGTGTTTTGTAGTTGAAAAATAAAAGAAATTCCTGTTTGTATTCATAATATATTTCATACTACAAATTGTTTTGGTTAGACTAGCTTGATAGTAATACACTGTAATAAAACTTAGGGATGCCAAACCTGGCAAGAAGGACAACCACTCCACATCTGAGATGAGCTTTGGCCTGTGTGAGCACAGCGTATCGCGTCACAAGCTCAGACTTGAGTATGCGCATTCCTGTTATTCATCCTACATGTGCACACCTTGTGCCACTTTCGGATGCATTTCCTCTATCTCTGCTGAAGGTTTGGGGTAACCCAGCAGCAACCACAACTGCAGGAGGTGCCCAGAGAGAGATCTGAGTTGGCTGATGCTCCTGAGCTGTGGAGGTTCAGGTGGAGTTTGGGAAGTCGCTGAGTGCGAGTCCCTGAAGCCCTGGGTTGTGCTTGGGGAGATGTCACTCTGTCTCTGCAGGAAGATCAGGTGCAAGTCAGGAACCTCAGGGCCGTGTCTAAGTCATGGAGAGGAACCTCAGGGCAGTGTCTAAGTCATGGAGTAAGTGTGTGAGCAGCCCACCTACTCACAGAGTGGCAGCTGAAAGCAGAAGCAAGTGCAGAGGACTCCTTGCTCCCAGCACTGTACTGGTACTGCTCACTGTGCAAGTATGTCAGGCTGGAAGTGCAAAAGCACACACTGTAGTTGAGCTGCTTAAACACTCCAGAGAAACAGGAATATGGAGTCACATCTTTCTCCTAGTTCAATCTTTGTATTGATTTATCATTATAAGAGGTGCTTCTTTAGTTCTAATAATGTCTTTTTTTTTTCTTTTTTTTTGCTATTAAGTATTTTTATGGCAGCTTTTCCACGTGGTATATGTTGGGTCACACATTAATTTACACCAGCTGCAGTTCTGCAAAAAAGAGTTCATGAACTAAATGAAAAGTAATGGGGAGGGGGATGTCTAGCAGAGCCCAGACTTTTGTTTCATGTTTTGGATGTATTTTCTTTTTAAAATAAAATTGTTGATACGCATTTGCTTTTATTTTTCTAGCCTTCCTCTTGCTGATGACCGGGCTCCTGTTTGATCCTGTTTACAAAGCTTTCGAAGATCGAGAATAACCCCACTCCTTTGCATTGGGTAGGAAAACAAAGCCATTGGAAGACAGTGCAATTATTCTGGAGGGCTGGCAGTAAGGAAGAGTGTGGTACAAGGAAGAGCTTGTGGAGCAAAAGGAGAAGGTTACTAGGTTACCACAAAAGACATTAGTGTACTCAGTTTTTCTCACCCACTCTTCGACTGGAGAGGAGGGGGAAGAGTGGGCATGTGAGCCAGTAAATAAGCATCCTCCAGGGTGTGTATTCCCAGTGTAAGTATTTGAAGTTTGTCCGTACTTTCTGCTACTCATTCAAACTACTTTGCAGTTGTGTTTCAACCTATTCAAAGCATACAATAAGTATGGAAAAGTTTTGGGGTTGGATTGTTGTTTTGTTGTTTTTGTTGGTTTTGTTTGTTTTTGTTGGGTTTTTTGTTTTTGTGGATATATGTGCAATATTTCTGCTGTGTAAATATCTATATCTCAAGTATTAAATTTTTACAGATATAGTGTTTCTTGTCATTAGGGAGACTGAATGGGGGAGAATCTGGTTAAATGCTGTTGGCCTGGCAGGAGACTCAGTTGCAGATAATCCCATCAGTTATTTTGTTTTGTTGATCCTGATGCCAAAATGATTTTTGCTTTCATATATTCTTTATATACATTTGTAGCTCTGTAGACTTGTCATATAGTTATGTAGTTTCCTAAACTTCAGCACTTTTCCTGTTAGACAGACAAATTCCTGAGGGCCTGTTATAATCTTGCTTTTTGTGGGAATCAGGGACAAGCTGCCTTCCCAAGATCTTTCACATGTAATAAGACATAACTAGCAAGCAGAGGGGCTTCAGAGGGGGTTGCACCAAGAGGGGGAATTACTTCATTACCTGTCTTTCTAACTGAAGATTCTTGTCAATAATGCTTATTTGCTAAACTTATGAAATGTGCTTGCCCTATGTCACAGAGTGCATTTTTGACACATTTTTGGCATGTATTTTAGGGTTGTTGTGCACCTGGAGGGACCCTTTATCAAAAGTGGTAGCTGCATTTTGTCACCTCACTCGGTTTGGCTGTTGATTTGGGGGGTTGAAGAGACAACAGTCCTGAAGTAGTTTTTGTGCTTAGTCTGATTTCCATGAAGAGTAAATGCTTGCAGAATTAGGGTTTCAAATACAAGCACTTACTTTAGGTAGCCTTGTTTTTACTCTTGTTATTGAGGGTATCAGGGAGTGGAGTTGAGGTTGGTATTCTGGAGTGTGATGGGTTTGCCATGGGTTAGGTGTCAAATGTCTTTGACCAGGTTGCTCTCCAGGTGTTTCTTGTTCCAGGAGTGGCAGCTGCTAAAACATAGGGATTAGAAATGCAGCTGTGGTGACAGGTGACACATCCAGTTTTCCTGTGTGGAAATGAGGAGAAGGTGTGGATGAGCTGTGCAACTGAGATTTTAGGCCAGAGACTAAGCTAAAACCCAGAGACAGCCTGCTTGATTTCAGTATGGTTTTGTCAATCTGCAGAGGGCTATTCTACTGTTGATTTACAGAATTAAAAAAAAAAATCTAATTAAATTTGAATGCAGTATTATGTGAATGATTGATAATATAATGGTGTAAATCGATGTTTTTCTGCTTGGTGGTGAAGCCTTAGACAGGCATCTGAGATGACAGTCTAAGTCATGGTATTTTAACATGATTGATTCAGATATGGAGAAGTTGTACGATTCACTTATATCTTTCTAAATGCCAGAAGTCAGTTGTGACATTCTCATCTTTTCCTCTTCTAAATAAGCTTATCAAAGAAGAAATCACTGATTTGCCAGGCAGTGCTTAATAATCAAGGAAGTGAAACTTCTATTTTACAGAGAGGGAAAAAAAAGAGAAATCTTTTGCTGAGTTGCTGAATGATGTTTAAGTAATAAAAGCTTGCTATGTACTGAGCAACTAATTTTTTAAAATTATTTTTATTCTTTAAGGCCTCAAATCTGAGAGGGGTCACTAGCCTTTGAGAATTGAGCCACTTTGTTGATAAGTCTGTCCTCTAAATTGGACAGCATTAATTACAACTTCATGTTGCAGATTCTTACTTTTAATGTGGGCGGTGTTATCAACAAAAATGTCTAATGAATTCGAAGCTGATTTTAAAAGGTCTGCCACCTGTAGATAAAAATGTACATTACTGCACATGGTAGTCATCAAGATCAAAGGCTGTGGTATGATCCATTGACCTTTTGAAATCAAAACACTTCTTATAAAGAAACAAAGGCACTGATTTTTCTATCTATGTTAATAGAGGACATGTCTGTATATTCAGCTGTATTGATACACTTTCAAATAGCTACAGGAGAAAAGATACTTCCAATTATGATAGACCCAAATTTCCTATCATTTCCTCTGTAGACTTACAAAGCTCTTGCTATTTTTGTATGTGTTGAGCAACTCTTTTTTTTTTTTTTTTTAAATCTAATGATATAGATTGCTCAAAGTATTCAGGTGTCTGAGACTGCAGCAAAGCATCTCTGAACCACCCTACAAAAATAAACTAGTTCTGTGTGTGCAGGATGGAGAAACAAGTATACAGGAGCAGACTTCAGCTTCAGGCTTTTTTTCAGGGGCATTTGCAATAGGGGAGGGGAGAAACAGCCCAGAAGCTATCATTGTGAAAATTATGAAAGCACTTTGATGGTCCTTTTTGAAGTCACTTCACTAAACCAAAGGGGCCAAAGCAAAAGCCTGAAAGGCAACTTGTAGTTGGCTTTTAACAGCCTCAGCCCCTCGCTGCTGTCTGCAGTGGAGAGCAAGTGCCTGTACACACAGAAATGCTGAGAAAGACTAAAGGGAAATACTAGACACTAAGGAAGGATTTTCTGTTTTCATGTGAGTACTTGGAAGCCCAAGCAAGTGAAGAAGCAGCAATTTTAGCTAAGCTAATGTAATAGAAGGCCATCGCACCCAAACTGTCTCAGCAGAACTTCCTGCATAATTAGATTGTAAATCTTCTCAACTGAGGAAGTTTTGCCCAGGGTCAGATTTGTCTAAGTAATAATCCATTCTACATAAATTAGAAGATTTGAACTGCTGGGATACGTTATTACATTAGTTTGGGGGTTTTATTCTTAATATAACTAAGGAGAACAAATGCAACAATTCTTTTTCTTTTCTTTTAATTACCTTATGTCTCTTTAGCTTTTCTTTACCTCAGAAGGCCTTTTCTGTAGGTTTAGGGGTTTTTCCTGAGCAGTAATGATGAACTTGTTATATAGGCAAATTAATAAATTTTTAATACACTTCAGAAAGTGATGCCGCATAATCCTTTGGCCAAGTGATATCTCTTCTTCAGTGAAGAATTTACTCAGAGATGCTGCTGCTCTTTTTGTGCTGTTGAAGATTTATCTTCCACTGTGACCTCCTTTTTCAGCAAAGAATAGAAATTAATCTCTGGGGTAAAATTAATGGGTGAAAAATTACTAATAACTAGTTTTAAACAGGTAGGGGTTTAAGTTAATAGTTCAATTATTTTCTTTGACAAAAGGAAGTTTATGGGTACTTCACATGTATATACAGCTATATGCAAAAGTGATGGGGTAAATCCTGATGTTCTTATTCAGGCACAAATTGCCTTGGAAATTTTAGTATTTGATCTGCTTGAAGAAAACCATGTTTGCAGTACAGCACAGATGAATCAATATGGTTTGAACTCATCATTTTGTGTTTGGGGGTGCTGCTTTTTTGGTGGTTTTCGGTGTTGGTACATTTGACTTTCATTATAAAATGGAGAAGTAGCCAACTGATCAGGATAGTCTTTTGGAAATAAAACATCTTTGGGGCTGAATTCTCTTCTTACTGAAAAGTCCTGTGATACATAATGGTGTCATGGTTTCACGCTGGCACAATGCCAGCGCCCCATGAAAATGCAACCTACCAATCAAATGCTGTGACATGTGATCAAGAACAGAGCAAAGCAGGCCAAACTTAATAACAAAGGAAAGACTTTATTACACTACTACTAATAATATAAAGGGGAAGAAAAAGAAAAAAAAACACACAATCTTCAAAATGAAAACCTTCCAAAACATTCCTCCTCCCACTACCCAACTCCACCAAACCTCAACGAGACCCATTTAGATCCTTAATCCAGTTTTCACCCTTCAATATAATCAATACTGAGTCCATCGGGGAAGAGAGGAGTCCCCTTGCACCACAGACCCCCAGGAAACACAGCTGCCACCTCTTGTGTTTCCATGTCACACGTGGCACTGCCCAGACACACCGGGCCGTGTGACACTCTCCTCTCCATGTCACAGTGCTCTCCCCACCGTGCATGGACAAAGACTGCTTATAGGGCCCCTTTAAGGATGCTCTGCCAAGGACCACCAGGAACAACAGTCCAGTGTCGCATTTCGGGACTAGAGTCCCCCCCATTTTCCCCTGGGGCCAAGGATCCAAGGACAGAGATCTCCTTCTCTTCTTCTCTGAAGACGGAGGGCATCCTCACACCCTCCTCAGCTCTTTCTGTCCATTCCTGAACTGGTAGTTGCTGAAGAAGGTCTCTTGGCTCACCAGTGCATCCCCCTAAAATGCAGTCTCTCTTGAAAGAAGGAGTGGTTCAGTCTATGGTAAACAAGCAGAGTCCAGCCAAAAGCCACTCCATCATCTCCCCCCAACCTTCTTCTCTGAACATCTGAGGTTTCAGACTGTCTCTCTTTCCTTCAAATTGAGGAGGAGTAATATTTCATAAAGCCTTCATTTCACAGGAAAGGGTTAAAATTCCCGGACTTCCTGGACGGCTGATATCTCAGCCCAGGACTCTGTCTCCTGTCTCCCACGCTGGGCATCTTCCCCCCCACTTCTCCTTCTCCTCTGCCGGCAAACTCCTAGGTGTCTGCTGGCTCTCTATCTCTTTTCCCTCTAGCTTAGGGGAGGGGGAACAAAAACATCCCAGATGTTCTCCACCCTTCCATCCGCAGGAGCTGGCCCAGCTCGATTCCGATCCTTCACCCTCTGGCCTACCTCTGCAGGCCGCATGGCTGCCCTCCCCCACCCAGCCCGGGCTGGGGGGGGGAGGTCCGTACCTTGCGATGACCGGAACCAAAGAAGGACGAGTCCTCCTGGGAATTCCGCTTTTAACCCCTCTGTGTTCTCAGAGGTGTGTCCGCCTTCAATTGGTCACCCCAAGTGTCAGTATCCAAACCTGACCCCTGACTGTGACCTCTTCCTTCCAAAAAAAATTCTCTTCCCGTGTCAAACCATGACAAATGGTAATTTATCTTTTTTAAGACAAGA